GCGTCCAATGCGGAAGGGCAGATGTTATGGTGTTCCATATTCAACAATAGGGAGCCACACTGCGACAAAGAATCATTGTTAGAGGGATGTCTGGCGCAAATAAGTATATTCAATTCAAGAATTTAACAATAAATTGGGTTTTCTGTCGGAATATAAGAGTCGCCATATCTAAATAAATTTTACTGGAACTTACAACGCCACTCACGTTCTTTCAAAACCCAGACAACATCGTGCGCTGAAATTTAAATCAGACATTCAATCACTAATTACTACAACTAAGAGTTAAAACAAATGTATAAAAAATTGTGCCACAGTTAATGAACTGTCGAAACTGGCAATGTATTGAATATATATACAAGCAAATCTTAAGTTACATCGGTCCACAAAGTAAACAATACCGACTGGGACATCAGTCAATTCAGTTTTTAAAAAAATGTTTCAATTTACAATGTCGCAATCTAAAATGCTTATTTTGAGGCCAAAATGATAAGCCAACGAAATTATATTTCATTACATTTCAGCAACCACGAAGATTCGGCTTTCTTCAACTTTGAAGGTACACATGATCTACATGACATACATGATCGTAGGAAATAAAAGATCCTGGCCAACTTTCAAACATTTCACACTACAGTAATGCTGAAAAAATATTTCGGTTTTCCATACTCTCACACCTGGAGTTACATTCAGTAAGAAAAAGATCGACAAACATTTTTCATTTACGGGATTTATGGACAAAAAGACGCCGCTTCGCATGAACAGCCCGACAGAACACAAACAATTTCATTCCATTGCTCCCGGAAGTTTTGTTGACGACCCGCAGCGTGAGGTGCAAGCAATAGACGTCATATCAGATACGAACGGCAAATACTAATCCACGATAATTCGCGCGTCGTTTCCTATTAATAGCACGAATAATAGGCGATCTATTTGTAGACGAAATAGTAAAATAATAAAAAGCAAACAAGTGAAAATAGTGATATGATAACTTTTCAAACAGTATTGCAATAGAATAAAAACCGAGTCGTAAACCCAAGATGAAAGCAAGTATCTCGTATATCGCATACTCAGTTAATAAAAAACAGAGCACAGTAAGGAAAAGCGAAAACTGAATTCATTCTAAAGTAGCGAAAGGCAGTCCTGACAATCGTCGAGTGTTGTGAAGGATTTGGACCAGTCCGTGCTGAGTTCAGCAAATCTGGGTCTACAGAGCTTAAACGTCAAGCAAACGCGAGTCAGGTACTTGCCTGAAATCTGTCAAGACATCCATAACCACTGATGAACTATCATTTGCACAGCATGCAAACTTCAGCTTTAAGTTAAAAGGAGGCATACAATCACCTACAAACGGGACTTGCAAACCTGGCTGACACCTACTGCAAATCCTTCTAGGTTACGTTGTTTACACAAATTTGCAAGCCCCACTTGAAAGTGTATACCCACCCCAACGCGCTGCACACAAGGTGGAACGCGAGCGAGGAATCTCGCGCAACGCACACAGCCCGCGGCGGAGGGGGGGGGGGACTCACCTGTCGCAGTTCCAGCCGCATCTGCTCCGCCTCGGCCGCCGCCTCCGCAGCGGCCTTCGCTGCCGCTTCCCTCGCCGCCGCCGCCTCAGCGTCCGCCTCCTGCGAAGAAAGGAGCCGTCGCGCTGGGTCGGGGGTCTTCAGCTCCATCCTCTGGATAGCTCGCATAAGCGAGATTAACGTTTACGCAAAGCACTTCAATACGCGAGTAGTCCAGTTTTCACGTTTTTTTAAAACTTTAATAAAAGTAACATAGCAATATCTACTTCAGAATAATGCTATTGATATCTCAAACATCTATTTACACACAAATGTTACCCACGAATGGCAAAATAAACTACAAGGAAATCCTATTAGCGACTACTGTTTGTGCCGTAAAAAAGCGGTCTTTTAGAGAGGGGGGTCCCTTAATAAGAGGAAATTTATTATTTTACAAAGATTACTCTCTTATTACTAGTCATCGATGTTTTGGTAAATGCCTACTATATCGTTAGTTTATGAAAGGTTTTTGGTATACGTGTATGAAACATGAACCATTTTGGCTGTTTTATTTCGACTTTTATAAATACCTCTTTAGAGTTATTGACTGCCTTTAACAATACATTTAAAAATATTTATATATCCTTCGATTGGCTACAAATCAAGGTTTTTAATAATTTTCAGTTTCAGAACCCCCAACAATTATCTATGAACCTAATTTTTCTTATGTAAACTCAATATGCAATTGGGTGTGCGTTCATACCAAAACTGCAAGTTCAGAGCTCAAAACCTCGCTTTCCTCGCACATTATATAATATCAGTGATGGGGTTTGGGTGAGCGCCGGGCGCAGCTCACGGGGCAACACTCCGTGTTACGGGACTTGTCGATAATCCTGATATTGACATTCTACCGCGCTAGTGTTCTTCCGAGAAGGTAAGGTAAGGTCAGGTAAGGTAAGGTAAGGAATGTCGTCCCATTAAATGAAACTGAAATGGAGCGAACAGCCGTGGTACCAGTGGCCACAGATTATTTTTATTTCTTTCTCGTAATCCTCTTCCCTCCGGTTTCCTCGAGAATGAAGCAAAGGCCCAGGACATAGTTCAATTTTATGTAATTATTGTCTAAGTTGCATTGCTTGATGCGCATTAACGCCAGAATTTTCCATTATACAGTTATTGCAGAAACGAAAAAGTCTTCTCTTTCGTATTCTATTTTAACGTATCTTTTACCCGCATCAGGGTAGTGTATATAAAAAATATTCCACTGCGTAATCGAGCATCTTCAATACAAAACATTTTCTCGGCAATGGCCATTGGCTACATGAATCATAGCGTATACTTGTCCCCTACACTGAATCACCCGCAGCTGTTTTGATGAGCCACCAGTGTTTGAGAACGAGTAAATAAACGTCACTTCAACTTGTGATAATTGCGCTAGCATTGGTGTCTCTTAGTGACTACTATTTGATCCACAATACGAGAACAAACTATCACAGGCCAAGGTTGTAATCCTAGAATAACTCATGAGCCATTAGCATGTCGATAAGATTCAACAATAGTCATTCAAATTTCTATCGAATTACCAATAACTAAATGACGCATTCACACGGTCCATTAGGCGCCTAGTCAACTACTCGCTGCCTATCCATCGATCGCTTGTAATGAACGGCACCGCACGTCCTCACCTCAATTCGCAACATCAGAGCTGCTGACGAGGAGGAGTCGCTTTGGAAGCCTACGTCGTCCTCTGTCCTCGCCGGGGACGCGCTCTGGGCCGAACAGAGGATGCGGATTTTTTTAAGCAACTGCACGCACAATGTGTTGCTTCGATAAGTACGATATAATACAATTCAAAATACATAAGTAAAGTACTTAAATATTTTGAAATGTGTAAATAAACACTGCACACTACTAATGAAACTTTTCTGGTTACCTTTTCAAATTTTCCATTTTATAACTAACATTTATAAACAATCAAATCTCACTCGTAAAAAAAAAATACGCTTTAAACAATATTCGATACAATCTATCATACAAAATTCTCAAGCTTTCTAAACTATTATTACAGATTGCTCGATTTTTAAGTACAGATACTTTGAATGTTTGGATTTTCAGCGAAATTCAGATTATCGTTTCTAAAATACATACATCGTTTACTTAAGTCATTGTATTATTCTATTAAATATGTTACCAGACATCGATCTATATGTTATTTCTTAAGGATTTAATCTAACAGTTTTCTAGTGAAATTCAAATGATCACTATTTTTTCCTTTAATTTGTAGTTCAGGTATCTTTTCAACTAATTTTCTAACGTTACAATTTAAAATACTACTTCCATATTCTGCATCTTATACAATGACGAACCGGGGAAAAGCCTCTGTGAATGCCGTTACTTCGAATTTGAAGTGCCAATGCCATTAAAAAGCGAGAACGTCCGCTCCGCAGCGGCCAAACGCCAGCGCTGCTGCAGCAGCTGCCTTTGGGAGAGAAGCGGGCGACGCCGCGAGGGGGCGTGGCGGCTCCCAACATGTGCGGCGCAGACGGCGCGGAACACGCGGGCCTCGGCCGGGGAGGGGGACACGGAACACGGATTCTTCTCAGCGGCGCCCGGGACCAGGAACAGACTCCCCTCCCGTCAGAACAATGATGTCATGGATCTACTGCAGCCCAAGGGGCGTTTAGACTTCACGTGCAGGCCACTTTTATTCGAAGCCCAGCAAAATCACGCAAACAGGAGGAAATGTTCACAGCCGATACTGCTGAAGCGAGTCAAGTGATATAGCAAAATTTCGAAACAATATTCTTCTTTTGCAAGTTCTGAATGTCCTTGCAAGTGGAGTAACACACACATTGCAAAACTTCCTTAACACAACTTCCGTTGGAGACCGGATATGATTGTGATATCTTTCCGTCAGACGTGACGTGCTTTGGAAAAAGTGAAGTAGCCTATCTGAATGAAGAATATTTGCGTCTAGTAACTTTTCCTGGCCTTCATATAGAATATTTCCATGAAAGCGGCAATAATAAAATACAAACACCTGGAGAGAGGAAGAGAAGGGGAGAGAGACAGAGAAGGAGAGAGAGAAGGGGGAGAGAGAAAGGAAAAACGAGAGGGGGAGAAAAAGAGAGACGACAAGAGTCAGATGGAGACAGGCAGACAGAGATTAAGAACAAGTTTAACTGTTTCCTAGATTTTCAGTTCATTATGCTGAAAGAAGCAAACTCTAAAAAAATCTAATAAATACAATAGTTATAAAATGCTAAAAATATTTATTGAACAAAACATTTACATTTTTTAAACAAAATAAATTATCTCATGTTCAAATAAACTTTTTGACTTGAAATATGTGCAACATATATTTAATACAAATATGAGTAAGTTTACGTGTCTCATAATATCTACCTTCCATTGAATTAACAGAAAAACAAACATTAATATAAGTACCATCGTTGCCTCTTAAAATCATTTAATGATTTCCTCAAAGCAAGGTGATTAATTATTATGATTAGCATCATAAAATAAAACAAAAGGAATTACAAACATAATTTCTTTTAAAATATAATTATTCATAAATATGCCATTTACACGCTTGTTGATTGTAACCAGTTGGTCCATGCTCAAAAGGATTAATACTGTAAATAACTTTGTACAATATGAATTTCAACCACTCTGTCCTGCCATTCTCAATCTATTTCAGGCCAAGAAGGATAGCGCGGATGTCGATCTGCAGTGGAACGAGCCAGAAACGTATTAACACGCCCAAACAGATTCCCAGCTTTCCTCCACACAACGTTGCCGACCAAATTATCAACAATGCCCCCAACCACCCGCCCGACGAAGGTTGCTGACAACCGCCGCCGCCGCCCGACGACCATCGCGGCAAACCGCCCGCCGCGCGCGCCCGGCCGCGCACCCAGGACCTCCTGCCCACCCGGCGCACGCGCTTGGGACGCGTTCCGGCGGCGGGCCGCCATGCCCTCCACGCGCCACGCGCCGGGACGCCCCGCCGCGCCGGCGCCAAGCCCAGGGCAACCACTCGCGGCCGCGACCGACGCCCTCCGCCCACGTCAGCCGGCCGCGCTCCCGCGCGCCGCCACGCCACGTCGCGGCAGGCGCGCACGAGACGAGACTCACCTGGCGGGCGCGCTGCGCGTTCCGCGGCGGCCGCCCGCGCGTGCTGCGCCTCCGCCTGCGCCTGGTGCGCGGCCGCCCGCGCCGCGCGCAGCTGCTCGTGGTGCTGCTCCTCCAGCAGCTCGACGGCGCGCGCCGCCTCGCACAGCAGTTGCTGCTTCTCGGCTGCCTCGCGCCGCAGCTGCTCCAGCTCCGCGCGCACCGCCGCGCCGGCCTCCCCGCCGCTCCCGTCGCCCTGCAGCACGACACACCATGCCGATAGGGGGCCAGCACAACTATTGCGCTTACGGGATGCTTGATAATAGGAAAGCAAGATTTGTAAGGCGAAATTAAGATTAAACAAATGATTTTTTTTTTAAACACAGAAATCCACTCAAAGTAGCACGTCGCTAGCACGCATCCATGTAGGTTGGTCTCCATTTGAATATTCCCTAAAGTCCAACGAATTCTGAATTCTTTGAATTTACCACGATCCTTTAATTCACGTAAATTATCTTTTTCCCCTGTGCCATCAGTGGTTAATATGCGAAAAACGTATCGTCAGAAGTTTACCTATACTACAATTTTTGATTGTGAACACGGAGATTTCAGAAGGAACAATGGATGTTAAAGGTACACATAAACCAAATACTCTGCAACAAGGCCTATAGTAGTTCAAAATAATGTGAGAAAAGTTGAATTTTAAATTCTGCGTGATTCCCTGTACCTGAAAGTAATTAATTCGGCATTCTAAACAAAGTATTTGAATATTTGGGTATATTTCTTTCAATGCGATTTGCTAAATCCTTTTGTTTACTATCAATAAAAAAACTTCTGACTACTACTAAGGGTTACAGACCTGTCGTCTTCAGTAATAATCAACATCTGAGTTTTGTCATTATTAACCAAATAATACAAATTTATTTTACAGTTTTGTACAGAAAGACCATTTAACTCTGACCAATGGGTTTTGAAGAAAAATAAGGCAAATATTTATTATCAGGCTTCGGATTGTGATAACTTGAAAAATTTTCGAAAATTACCTATAAAATGACTTTAAAACACGAGGAAAATATTCTAAAAGACTTAAAAAAGGGGAAATACCCTATTTTTCAACAAATATTCAAAAATTTGTATACAAATTTTTATTTATTCAATGAATTTCTCAATTTTAAATAAAATGTATTCATATAAAATTATATTTAATATGACGTCTTTTAGGAGGCAATGTAATCCTTAGCTCCGTCTCTTTAACAACCGTCGGTTTGAAAGGTCGAGGAAGTTACCAAAGATCTGTGTAATTTTGCAAGTTGGAAAAACAGAGTCCACTGCAGCAGTGAATTTCGTCATGAACTGATAGTAATAATAATAATAATAAAAAAAAGTTTCAGTGTGTCATTGTAGATTCATAAAAGATTTACAAACAAAAAACACGAAAAGGAAATATAATGACACAATAACTACATTTCTATCACCTATATGTTGTGATAAACATTCATTTAGAAGACAGCTACATCTAGAGTGCATCAATAAAAAGATGACATGTCATCAGAATTTCAGCCCTATTTAATTATTAATTTATCTTTTTTTATTTAAAGTAACAACACGTATCAGAATGGGATCATTCGAGTTTAAAAACCACAAACAGCAGTAATGAATTGCTGTATCAAAGAAAATGAATTTGGCACCTTTAATGCCTACAAAATTGTGGAAAAAATAAGCAAAAACTCCACTTTGCATTCGCAATAACTTGGGGAAATGTCATTCTCTAGCTTGCGTTAACAAATATGCACAGGAAGTGACGCGAACATCAAGTAAACTACTCATCTTGCCTCCTAACCGCGCTGACGGAAAAGTGACTCAATGGCGTTTCAAGATCCGCCTGTGAGCACCAATTGTTCAAAGAACTCACTGAAGACGAAATATCTAATATATTAAGAAAAAAGTTTCCAACTCTAATTAAGTGTCGTGTAAATATGAAACATGTATAAATGCAAGTACGAAGCATAAAAAACAAGAAGAAAATGGACTTTAGTACAAAAACACTATCGGACTGTATCAAGCAAAATAAAACAAGAGTTTAATGGTATTAAGAGCATGTTAACTATAGTGCCAGCGGAAACGAGGGTGTGCGACAATTTTGTTAATTGAATGTCGGAATACTCTTACGAAAACGTATTTTAAAAATCACTCACATTCAATTTTTGTAAATTAAAAAACTACAAAAAGGCGAAAAATGCTATAATTTATACACACAAGAAATGTAAATTATTCCGGAACACGAATACCACTGCCATAAATATTGAGAATCTGATAATAGTTTGATACGGGATAGTATTACACGTCAGAAGGAATATAATAATAATAATAATACATTGAAAAAGTAAAAGAGTTCTGCAGTTTCGGCTGGCACCTTTCAGTTAAAAAACCGAAATCATACATGACGCACACATCAGTCACAGCCTCTTGGGCAATACACAACAAAGAGAGGTACTCACCACCGCGCCGCCGCGCTCCTCCAGGAAGTACAAGCGCAGCTTGAGGTTGAAGTTCTCCTTGCGCAGCTGCGCCAGCATCTCCTCGTACTCCTTCATGGTGCGCCCTCGGAAGGGCGGGCTGCGGCCGCCCGCACCTACGCACACGTAAGCACGCATGTCACCCGCCAGCACGCATGCCACACCCGCGCGTCCACACGCCAAGTCGCACCGCTCCGATCTGCGACGCGGGCGGCGCGGCGCGGCGCGGACCAGAGCAGAGCAGAGCCGAGCCACTTCCCGCCGCCCCCGCTCGCGTCATCGCCCCGCCCGCCCCGCGCACGCCCGGATCCGACCCGGCCCCTCCGCCCACTGCTTCCTCGGCGCCTGTAAACGCCTCGCACGATCCCTCGGAAGTGGCAGAGCCTTCGGCCCCGCAGGGAGACAAGCTTTGTACGGCAGCATCCCGTGGCCGCTGAGGGAGCTCCACAGGCCGGCGAACGTCACGTATACACGTGGGAGGGAATCGAACTCTTTAACACACTGCGCGAATTACTATTTCCCCTGCTCGTTTTCCGTGGGCAAAAAGTTTTATTTTTTCTTCTAATTAATTGCCAGCGAAACATCGTGAACTGAGGGCGAAACATCAGTAACTTTCGCAAATGTTTTTCGTCTTGATGTCTTTGCTTATTACTTACACACCATACTGATACGATAATGACTCCAATACATTTTCTACAGTAAAATAAATGTTACCAACAAGTTCTGAAAGCGTCTCGTTCACAGCGTGTAAATATATTCTCTTCTATGATTTTTTTTCTCGTCAAAAACTGTGGGTGACGTAACGAGGAGAAGTGTATTCATTGCACGTTTTCTTAATTTCGAGATCCCTAGCCAAAACCAAATACAAGTTGAATGCAGAATGCAGATAGAAATGAGCGTTTTTGGCAAGATTTGTTGACAAAATATTCGCTCCGATGTAATAAAATCTATTTTCAAAGACAAATCAGCTGTAGGTTTGAGTTCGTATCCCGTATGTCCTTAGTGGAGGAATCTACTTCTGCCACGACAACATGGAGAACGATAATTTGAATAACTATATTTCCCACTGAACTCTAAGACTAACACTGCACAGATAATGATGTTATATTTATGTGCAGCCACAAAATAAGGGGCCATCTCAGCAATTGCTCAAGGGATCAGGGAAACTGCACAAAAACCTGATCGACATGGGGATAATTGATCCAGTACCAATTTACTTTTACAGTTATTTAGAATAACAGTCCAAATAGTAATGAATACATCAAATCTATTTAGTATAAATGTTAAAATTAATACGTATATATTTTATATATTAATATGACTAAATACAGAGCGAAGTTGCCTCAGTGCGTTAGCGCGCGACTTCGTAATCTGAGAGGTCCGGTGTTCGATTCTCCGGCCGCCCATCCTGACGCGGGTTTTCGTTCGTTTCTCGCAGTATAAGGCGAATGCGGATGTTCAACCACGATCAACCTTTCACCAATATTCCTATCACTCCTAATCCATTAATAATATAATAAATAAAAATTAATAATAATAAAATAATAATAATAATATAATAATAGTCCCTTCACCATATTATCCAACCTATCATCTGTCATAATCCACACTTCAAAGCGCCTAGACAACCTTGTTGTAATCCAAGGATTACAGCGAAAAGTTGATCCTGGAAGAATTACACACGTTAATCGTGTAGCGTGGTCAGTAATGGCCTCTACGCCAATAATAATAATTATAATAATAATAAACTAATGAATATCACTGCCAAAACTAAAATTAAACTATTATTTCACGTCTGAGTTCCAACAGTATTTGGGAATTTTTACAAAATTTGCCAAGTTTATATCTGTAATGATAATAATTTGGAGGAAAGACATTCGCATATAATTGAATCAGTTGTAACACATTGTATTGCAGAATGTATACATTTTTACAGATATGCTCTTCCAAAACAGCAAATACATAAATCAATGAAACCTGAAATAATGAAGATTGAATTTTATGAAGCAAATGTACTTTTATCATATCTAACATTCTTGCTAACACTGTGTAATGCTATCTCAATGTCGGAATCTACGCGTTTGTTATACGAATCTGAGGGATTCGTGACGCGAGGCAAGTAAGGTACTTCCCCTTACATCAACCCCAGCCGTCCCTCACGAAACCCTTGCATGCAAGGAAGGCTCCCTTCCCAGTTGATGATTCGTCCGGCGAATGGACTTGTGACTCACTGATTCCACCTCTGTAGAATCTGAGTAATGTAGAAGTACAGTTATCATGATGACACATACTGATCTCTACAAAAAATTCATGACTAGAGATCTTTCACACCTAATATATATATGATGTTACGATGTGATGGAAATACGTTTCATTTAAAACGTGGTTCAATATTCTAAATGATTTAAGCGTTTAAATCATTACGCGTATTTATATTTGAAACGTGACAAAGTTTGCAATTATTTTAAAGATTTCACATATATACATTAATAGTGGTAATTTGGCAGCAGCAAAAATGCTGCTGTTGAGCGAGTGAAAAATGGGGCAAAACTGTTTTCCATTCCAAGCTGCAAGACCCTCGAATCCTAGCAAGCTTGCAAGCCAGCGTGAAAACAATAAAAACTTACATGAAAAAGATTCAAAAGAGAGAAAGGTACCGAAGACACTGAACTCATCACACATTACAGACTTAAGACCTTTTACAGGATGGATTAAAGTAAATATCTTCTGAACGTTTTGATGTATCGAGATGCGGATTGTGAATAGTTTTTGTAGATTATGGGGGAAATAACACATTTCCTTTTTGTCTGAAATGTTTTTAATTTTAGAGACATTGACATAATTTTAAAATTTTATTATTTTGCCCTAGCCGGGATTCGAACCCGGGGTTGCGCCATGGAAAGCGAGCAAGCTAGCCACCGAGGGCGGTAAATCTTGTCCCTATACACAGTAAATTACTTCCTCTATCACGCTGTGAAATCAGAATCCATGTTTTATGGTCCCTTAATACCGAAAAATCGATTGACGGCAAAACGTCTGTTCCTCGGTAAAGAAAGCGGCTAAACTGTAAGCAGATTTGTCACCAAAATCAATAATCCCCAATCGATCTGTCTGATCGTTCCTTGAATTTGAAACCGATATTTCATGTGAGGGGAACTTTACATCAAACCGTGGGATAAAAAAGAAAAGACGAAAAAAAAGGCAATTTTTTTAAAAATTCAATGTTGTCGTCAGATAGCGTAATGGACTCTGAACAGAATGGTGCAACTCTAATTTTCGTTCAAATATATTTTCGACGTCTTCCTACAATTAAAATATACATATAACATTTTATGACAGATTAATCCTTAATGTATCTGGGTTAAATGATAGATTTTGAAATAAGATCATGCACAGTTTTTCGAAAATTTGAAGTACTATTCGTGTATAAAAATTTGAGTAACTTCGCAGTATAGTCAATTTTTAATTGTGTTTAACGATTTTTTTTCACACACAGCCACCAAATCTGATTAAATTTAACCTGATAGAAGTAAAGGACGCTTTAAAAGGGTGCAGGTCTCAAGTTAGTTGAAATCCCTAATTTTCCGAAAAGTACAAACATTCAAAAAATGTTCGGCGTCTTCTTAAAACTACCATAATGAAGATTTTCCCCCCCAATGAAATGGATTTATCAAAAATATAAATTCAAATAAGGTCGTGTTATTTCGTGCAAATATGAGTATTTTTTAAAAAATTTAAACAATTTTTTCTGACAAAACGGCTTCAATATTTTTCTTCCTTTTTTTCAACGTATCTAGCAACGAACAGTCAAGAAAGAAGTGCTGGTTTGTCGCACTTTCAGTTATTTTCGAAAATCTGTAAAAATCCAAATGGTAAATTCGAATTTCCCGCGCTTCGTTTGAGGCAGTGACGATATATAAAGCCGTCGCGTCTTATCGCATCAATATATAATAACCTTAATTGAAATTTGGCTATTTAAGTTTTATCTCTCAAAATACGATATTAATGTAAGAAATGTAGAAAAAAGAAAAAAAATGCATGCCATAGTATTGTAGGAACTTAGGCAATATTGAAACTTCTTTTCAACAATTATATTCTGAAAAAGTCTTCCTCTTTTTCCTGTAAAAACGTAAGTACAATTTTTCCTTTAAAAAATTACGCAAATGTATTTCGTTTGAAATATCTCCCAAGCCATTAATATGTACATTTCCAGATATTTGAACGTTAATGCATTTGTGAGTAAACTGCTTCAAATGACTTCTAACGACGTTTTCGAAAACTCAAAATATTTCTGTAAGAGAGGAGAGAGAGGAGATAGAGAGAGGAGATAGAGAGAGGAGATAGAGAGAGGAGATAGAGAGAGGAGATAGA